GAGAAGATTTTGCTGTTTCACATAGTTTGGAAAAGTTTTACCAGTTTCATAGTATGATAGACAGGACAAATAAGCCTGATCCAAGATTACAGTTTAGAGGAGTTGTATGTTAATTAGCAACAATTATCACAGCTTGGACTTTAGCCATGCTGCTGACCATTTCCTAAACATACTCCAGCCATCACCAAGAACCACTGCACAAGTTCTGTATTTCAGTCTACTACCAAGTGATTACTATTACTTCAAAACATAATCAAGATGTATCCTTAGATGCCCTCCACTCCTGCATATGGCCAGATTATATCTGTGTCATTAGAGAAGCACATAAGTTTACCTTTATAGTCAGAGAGTTTGATGTCTTTGAATTGTCCATCTGGCATTACAGCCGTGGCAGTAAAGTCAGGGGCTGGTTTTCCAATGAAAGCCTTTCCTGAAGACATCTTGATTTGATCTAGATAAGAGTTAATAATGATACAGTTTAGATAACAGTACATTTGCACCAGGAAGTAAGCATTTATTCAAAGCATCTTATCAATTTAAATTGAACACCAAACAGTTGATCTTGCAATACAAGGTTTGAGTGAAATTAGTTTAAGCTTTGTCACCTGGGTAATCCAGTCAAAGCACTAACATTTTTTTACTAAAGCAGCAGCACAGTTAAGATGCAGTTCAATAATCACAGCCTAGATATCCAGACCAAGCCACTACATCGATTACTAGCACTTCAAGATCTATGGCTCATTAGCCTCCTAATGGTTATCTTTGACCAGAATCAGCTCAAGAGCCTGGGAAAGGGCTAGCCTAGAGTTTTAGCAGTACTAAGTCTTCCATTCTACTAAGTGAATGCATCAGTCTTTTTTTAGACCCTTCGATGAGGATACTCTTCAATTTCACAAGCGAATTTAAGACCTCAAACTATCTTCCTGCTGATTCCAGAAGAAAATAACTTTTATTAATCCCCAGGGATTAGTGCTCTGCAACTACACTTTAGCCTTTTGAACAATTAAACCTTGTTTCATTTGCAACTAGAAAGACTCATGGTAGACAAGGGAATCACACTCATGTTAGCAATTAAAATTTTACATCAGCACAGCCAGGTTGTTTCCCCCTCCAAGTCTAATGGAAACGAGTAAGAGGGTACACAAGGACAAGAGAACTCACTTCTGGCTGCCTGCCCTAAAAGCTGGTCATTTGTAATATGCCCTGTACAGTATTTTTGCTCAGTCTGGGAATGCAGTATATCACTTCAGAATTCCTGTTACTTCCAGAGCACCACCTTTCATAGAACTTTATGAACCTTGTTTGTTCAACTTGCAAAATCTTCAGCCATTCTATACACAGATACAAGCACTAGCTGCCTTGGAGATAAAAACACGTCTGAAAGGTTAGCATGAGTCTCAAGTTGCTAAGGAAAGACGAGATTCAAAGATTCTTCCAAGTCCTGCCTGCAAGGCACTAAGTTCACTCTAAAAAAAGTCGAGAGCACCTCACCTCTTGGCTCCTTCACCCTGGCCAGCCCACTTTCTTCCTGGAGAACTAGCCCATAGTCACAAGCACTTAGCTTTCAATTAAAGTTTAGTCTTTTCCTAATGGTTTTACCTTTTAAAGTTTCTCTTGCATGCCCTGACAGTATATAGACAGGAATCATCCACCTCTTAGTTTTCATTTTGAGGCATGTCGTTCAACATTTCTAACTGCCTTTTGTAACAAAGCTCTTTTTCCCCCTGTTCAATCCAAAGGTTTTTAGTCTTCAACTGCAGCAGACTAGGAGCTGGAGAAGGTGGCTAGAAATACAGAGTTTTCATAGGACTGTACATGTAGCCATGGATGCAGGTACAATTCTGAAACTGCAGTTCTGTAAGAACAGGGGACAGCTATTGCACAGGATTTATTTGAGATGCCTCCAACTAGGGAGCTTTATAAGAGCCGTTTTGTCTGGGGTGCATGACCCCATATTCTGTCATTCAATTACATTATTTTCCACTGCTCAAGGTCATCCTTTCACTCCATACTATGCCAGTCCTCCTATATTTGTTCCATCAGTAACCCCCTGGAGTATTTTAATAGGTATTCAACGTCAAATAAAAACTGTCAGGCTGCTCTTTTGATACTTCCCCTTTTTAAATTACAAGTTATTGTCCCCCTTTTAGGTAACATGTCCCCTTTAACACTGGCAGGAGATTCCAGTTGCTTTGTGCTGCAAGAGAACCACCTGCTTTCCTCAGAGCACCTACTGCGACCTGCCAACATTTCTGATTTTCCGTGCGGGGTTAGCGCATGTCCTCACACGTTCAGCTCGGATTTTTAGCCACAGCATTTCTTAACCCAGAGGGACAGACCACAGACTCATTGCTATTTCCTTTCATTCTAGAGGGACGGAGAACGGGCACTGCAGATCAAGTACACTTGCATCAGGTCTGAGGCTCTCTCTTGCTGCTCGTAACCGCACACAGCATCAATTATCTTCAAGCTGCAATTAGAATACGCCGGGCCTGCACTCGTAACTGGCGATTCGTACCTTTAGGACACCTTGCACAAAAGTGAAAGGCTGTTTCCAAACACACCCTCTGCCTTCCGCTGCGCTACCCTCAGCCTACCACAAAGACGCGGCTAAGCTCCTGAGCTGCGGTCGGGGAGCGCGATGCGGCCGCAGGTCCCCGCGGTTCTCGGACACCGCGGCC